TCTGTTGTGTGTGTGTCTTCCTTGTTCAAATAATAAAACTGTTTCTACTACCAGCATTTACTATTTTTGGGTGGTGTAAGATGAGGAAGAAGGGGTGTGAGTGCGGGTAGAATGACCAGAAGTCCCGTTTTCATCCGGACAGTCCCCCCCCCCCCCCCCCCCCATTTTTTTTAAATACCAAGGCCGTCTAGTCGGTACCCTAGAGCGGACACAAAAACTAATTGTCCCGTTGTTTTTTTAAAGTATCCAGAAACCATCAGTTGTAAACCCTTTGGCTCGGTACTATGGATAACCAACCCTTCGGCCTTGATTCCATGATAGATACCGTAAATCTTGGAGAAAAATAGCTTTTCTGCCTATCCTTGGGGGTGAACCCAGACCACAAGTGAATCGCCAGTTTTAATGTAAAAGGCCTTCAACGGCTGTTACTAGCTCTGAGGTCACTACACGGTGTTCTTGACCCGGTTGTCAAGAGTGTTTGAGAAATCAAGCCGTTTAAAGACTTCCTACTGCACTCATACACTAACTTGCTGGACTGACAAGCGTGAATCACCATACTTTACTTGTATTCGCCGATGAATTTCTATAGCCCCCCCCCCCCCTCAACCCACCCACCCCTTTTTTTTAACCACTGTTTTAAAAACGAAAACGAATTTAACAGAACGCTGCTCTTCTTTGGTGCATGTCAAAAGTGAAGAGGCCATTATTAATCTGGCATTGTGACGTCACCGTGTTCAGCAGCACCGTAATGCGACGTGCTTAACACTCTTGACATACTTAACCCAAAAATAATTGACAGCTCACAAAATAATAACATGGTTATTATAATCTATTTAACACTTTTAAGGTTTCTACTGCAATTTCTACCACATTTTTAAGGTTTTCATTTGTGGCAATCTCGTGTGAGTGTGTGTGTATGGGTGTGTATGTGCGAGTGTGTGTGTATGCGTATGTGTGTGTGTGTGCGCGCGCGTGTGTGTATGTTTGTATGAGTGTGTGTGTGTGTGTGTGTGTCTCGCCCACAGAGCTTTCGTTATAAATACATTGAGTTAAGTTTGATTTAAGGTCTCCTGTAGCTTACAAAATATGTCTAACCTATCTAATGATGACGCATGTGATAAACCAGATATACTAAAATATGAGTTTTAAATTGTTTGATGAGACCTAAACTTAACAGGCCCAGGAACGAAAACAACAGTAAATTCAACGAATTACTCTTTGCTGATGAGCAGGCTTTGATTGCAGACAGCCATGCATTTGCAACAGTCTGTGATATATTTTATTACTTTTACCAATGGCCACGTCATCCAAAAAATGGAAAGCATCTTATGACAGCAATCGCAAGTATAATGAATGAAGACTGTAAATCAAATGATATAAGAATCAACATCAAAAAGACAGAAGTAATGTCAATAGGAAGAAAGAAGCAGGACTGAAACATAGCATTAGAGCATAGGTATAGAAATAAACTCCACAGGGGAGCAAGTTCAGCAGGGATCTACCAGTCATCAGTAGAAGTTATCCCTCGTCGACAAACGTTTCGGCCCACGACCTCCTAGACGTTTTCAGAGAGTGGGCCCACCTGAGTTCATGAGGCTCAGGGCTGGTTTCCCCGCTGCACGGAATTACCGGATGGTGTTTTATTTTCGGATAGGGACAAGACGGTGATTTCGCAGATGGTACTGTGAGATAAGAAGTCGCCGCGGTAGCATTATTAGAGCAGTCTGCATACCTGGACGATCGAGCAACAAGCTTACGATTGGTTTACTGGACACATGTTGGACTTTCATTAGCAGGTGGCAGAGAAACACTAGGTATATTAAACAGGCATCTAAGTTTAAATATCTTATAACAACTATTCACTGAAGATGGTAAACTGGACGAAGAGATTGTCATCCCACACAGTAAAGCTGGCCAAGTATTGGGACAGCTAGCTCCCCTCTTACAGCATAAAGCAATCCCAATCAGCACACAAAAAACCATCTTATACAAAGCATATTCATTACCATCCTATGCTATCAGTGCCAGACGTGGTCACTCATAACAAAACATTAAAAAAAAATTAGTAACCATTGAAATAAGGTATATGAGAAAGATTGTGGGAGTGACCAGAAGAGATAAAATCAGAAATGAGGTATTACGAGATAAAGTCGGCACAGAACCAGTTCTTAATTACATACAAAGACAACAAATCAAATGGTTTGCCTGCTTGGAAAGAATGCCTTCTGATGCTGTTTCAATAACATAGAGAAACTCTACAGCACTGCCATGTGTCTATGGTCGAGGCTGTCAGAAGAGTACGAAGCAAGACCTTATATCTCCCTCGACACCCGAAGTGGTAAAAGAGGAAGTAAAGAAGTAGAAGAAGAAAATACCTAAACATGACACGTTTAAAGTTCAAGTAATGTTGCTGAAGAAATAATTCAACCAATGCATGTGTAATAGAAATTACCATGATGAAAATAACAAAGATATTGAATGTTGCGGTTAAGTCGTACATGCTTCTCCTTCTTCTCCTCCTCCTAATTCTCATCCACCTACACATCTACATTTTCGATACCTAAAAGAAACTGAGGATTGGTCGGCGAAGTTTTTTGTACCCTGTCCTAAGTGTGAATGTGATACTCCATCCCTCTCTTGAGAGGCAATGAAGCGATTATGGAGGAAATAAAAAAAAAGGGGGAGGGGGTGGTTAGGGTTAATTTATATTATATTATTACAATTGACGCCTTTGCAAATTATGCTTTTCCATGCCGGCTCAGTCCTCCGACACAGCAGCCACTCCAGTGTACCTATACTGACTGTTTCCATGAGAAGTTTGTTGTAGTATGACTTGTCTTTACTTCGAAGACAGAATAGATGTGCTTTATCTAATTTAACTCATCGGTCACGCAATTGTATTGGCGTCAGAGTCAACATTATACCACAATCTGGTCGATTGGGGGCGGAGGGGCGGGGGGCGTGGGGTGTTTTAGGTATCCAGCGATCCCTCTTGGACATAAAAATAGTTTTTTTTTTTTTTTTAAATGTCTTATTCTCCTGGTGATTAATTCACAAACTGATTGTGCCATGTCACTGTCGCTTCTGGCCAATCTTAACAGAGTTTGTGATTTCAACCATCGGTCAAAAGGGGTCGCTACATTTATTTTTCAGGGAATTATCGCCACATCAAGGCAACAGACAGATTTATTATTTTAGGCTGAAGGCAAAATTGGGAAGATTTTCTGCTATACTCCATGCATGTTTTTCTAAGATGTTGTAGTTATAAACGCGGGTTATTTAAGACACCCCTTGATTAATGCTGGGTTCTAGCACGAGAACGTGGCAGACAGTTGCGTCATTTTGTGCTTCAGGCTAAATAGTGAGATTTTCTGCTTGACTGGATGTTTTCCTGCTAGGATATTACCGCTAAAAGTGCAGTTTATTTAAGACATCCCTGGATTCATGTTTAATTATCACTACACGAAAGCAGCAGACGGCTGTGTTATCTTTTTCTGCAGTCAAAACGGGGGATTTTTGCTAGATGACAGGTGTTTTTTGCTGGGATTTTCTTCGATTATAATGCAGGTTATATAAAACAAGGTATTGTGATAGTAAGCAGGTTAGTTGTTCGATGCAGATTGTGTTCTGCAGGGAGGTAGTGTTACATTCTATTCAAAGTGTTGTTGAAAAGGTGTCTGTCATAGTCACTACCAGCTCTTTATTCTCTGTTAAACGTTATTGATGTTAACAAACAAATGAACCCACTTTGTTGGTGACTTAAACATTATGATGAAGTTCATCAATGTAAGGTTTAACTGTTGTCTTAAAATTTGTCAACTCGCGAATTTTCCTGGAACCTTTACTGAAATGAGTAAAATCATAACCCCAAAGATTACCCCTTGAAGTAAGTACTTGGTCAACATATTAGCAAAGTCTCAACATTTTCATACACCTTATACGTCAACTATGGATGTCAATCCGGTTCAAGTATCTTCTTCATACAAAGTATAAACCCAGCAATGACTTGGGTATACAGCAACACCACACACACATACATACTCGGGAATCTTCCAGAATGGTTTCAACATAGTGCCTAAAAATCATCATCAGTCAGCGGGTTACTTACCGAACGTCGCTGTCTTCATGGCAGGCCTGAAAGTCTTTCTTTCTACAGCCAGTTCTCTAGTCCTGTGTGCGTTCATAACTAATGCATCTCCAGTGACTTCTGTCAACTTTAGCCGAGGTCCGCCTCTGTCTGCTTTGCGGAAACTGTACCCTCCATCGCGGTTCTGTCAAAGCCACAGAATACCTCCGCATTTTAGACAGGATGCTGTTTATGAGCCAAATCTTCTGAGTGCTGAGATCATAAATAGGATGTTGGTATTTTTCTACTCATAAAAATGACAATAGTAATGATAGCAAAATGCGCACCGTATAGAACTACACAGTTACACTGTGATTAAACCAAGGTTATTGTTTGTATTATACTGGATGGACAAGCATTTGAAATTAAAAAGAAAAAATATTTTAAGAACCCTATTTTGTTTTAGTTCCGATATGAAAACAGGAAATATTTCTTTCGCTTGCCAGTAGTCATGGGAAGATGTATACACATCAATAAGATCTCCTTATGTGCTTTAGAGAGAATCCTAAAGATGATTCTAAAGATGTTGATCAAATCAAACAGTAGTAGTAGCAGTAGTAGCAGTGGTGGTGGTAGTAGCAACAGCAGCAGTACCAGTAGCAGCTGTAGTAATAGTATCATTAGTAGAAGTTGCAGCAACATTATTAGTCATTGTAGCAATAGAGCCTGCAGCAGCACAAGGAGGAGTATTTGCAGTGGTGGTAGTAGTAGTAGTTGTGGTGGTGATGGTAGTAGTAATAGGTAGGCACATATTGTAGTTTATTATTTATTCCTCTTTATTATCTAATATATACCTGTATTATGTTTTGTTTTCTTCACATTCTGTGTATAAGCTTCTTTTTTTTTCCAGCAAAGAAAAGAATTCAAACAAGGCATGACGACTGCCAATCTATACCTACTGTTGGTGGTTTCTGTAACTGTCGTCTACTGTAGCAAGAATGACAACAGGCAGAAACGATACCTTAGCAACAGCATCATAATTGAAATAACTAACGGAGAGGTACTGGGTCTGAGGGAGAAGATTCAAGGCAGAAATTCTGCAACGATTGACGTGGATGTTTTCCGGGGCATACCATACGCGAAACCTCCTGTTGGGGATCTCAGATTCAAACGACCCCAGCCGTCTGACCGTTGGAACGGGGTGTTCGAAGCAACCAAATTCCCAAATACTTGTATTCAGGTAAGACGGTACATCACACTACTCAGGGAAGCTAAGAAAACCGTCGACATCTGACAGTACACTGACAGTGTAACAGGGAAAGCTTCCTTTTCTTCTTCTTCTTCTTCTTCTTCTTCTTCTTCTTCTTCTTCTTCTTCTTCTTCTTCTTCTTCTTCTTCTTCTTCTTCTTCTTCTTCTTCTTCTTCTTCTTCTTCTTCTTCTTCTTCTTCTTCTTCTTCTTCTTCTTCTTCTTCTTCTTCTTCTTCTTCTTCTTCTTCTTCTTCTTCTTCTTCTTCTTCTTCTTCTTCTTCTTCTTCTTCTTCTTCTTCTTCTTCTTCTTCTTCGTCATCTTCCCCTTTCATGGGCTCTAACTGAAGCGGAAGGTTCTTGTTATTTTACTTTTGATCTTTCGTCTTCTTGCGGAACTTGAGTTTTGTGTGCAAATCCGTTTTACAGATCTGCCTTATTTGCATACAAACTGTGGGTTCCCTGCCTCTTTAGTGAATATAATCCAATTTCGAAGGAAACATCCTTAATTAGTCCCCTTTTACAAAATTCTTGTTGGAAGGCGATGGGACTATTCCTTTTTTTTTCCTCCCCAAAATGGGGCCCCGGAATCCACACGGGGATAACAATAGAAGCAATGTTTTCTATTTACAAATTTGAGCCTCAGGAAAAAAACTAAAAATATTACTTACCTACTTAGTCTCCTCTCTTCTACACTGGTTTGCCAGATAGGTCGCCAGACTTCTTTATCAGCAGTTTTCGTTTTGGCTGTGTTTCATTTCAATCCTCTGTCTGTCAGGGACTGTCGGACCCTGGGTCACGTTGGAGGTCTGGTTTCCTGGTTCTTAGCCTCTGATGCCTGCAATGGTGGCCGATTTTCTCCCATTCTGCATACATGTTCAAACTATCGTAACTGGGACTGATCCACTCGAGTTTATAAGTCCTGGGTTTCAAAACCTTGACGTAATGTCTGACTGTGTCTCTTTTTGTCGCTTGGACCACCTTTCTCATATATCTCATTTCTGAGGCCTGAAGCTGGTTTCTGTGAGCTGTTGTCATTGCCCATGACTCACATCCGTAAGATAAAAAATATTGAAATATTATATTATACTAGCTGTACCCGGCCACGCGTTGCTGTGGCATAGTTTGGCTAAATGGAAATGAAAGAAAATAGAAATCGCACGTGTCTAATACAATCATTGTCTGCTCAGATATAGAGATAGTCTTTGATCCCCACCCCACCCCCCCCCACCACCCCACAACTAAATCCACCTACTACCCTGTCCCTCATCAAATTTAAGTCACTACCCCCCTCCCCTCTTCCACCGACTACTGCTTTCTCCCTCTTCGAAATATTTGAAAATCCTTACCTGGCGATATTTTTTTGTTGCTGTAACTTACATTGACATCCCTGTCCATCTGGACTAAAATGGGAAGCAGGAATTGTAATAGGTAGTGAATGGGGCTAGTGTAATATTTACCACATCATCCTTCAAATACCAGTGCAACTACTAAAATAATGTCACTGCTATCTGTGTTACCATCGGAGTAGACAGAGAGTCGTGAGCCAGAAGATTTGGTTCCGCATGGCTAGTGCTGTCGCCACAGACTGGTCAGGTTAGGATGTATAATTTCACTTGCCGACAGAAGAACGCCATGGTGGTCTTCACATGAGAGCACTATGGTGTAACAGACCAACCACAACTATTACTGCTGCTGCTACTTTAAGTGGGTAAAGCAGTTACTGTGACTTAAAGCTCTCTCAGTAAATAGTTTGCCCCCTCCCCCCCCCCCCCCCCAATTCACCGACAACTCTTTCCCTCATTGAAGTAGTTGGGAGAGAAAAAAAACACTTGAAAAGCAAATGAACACAGGAAAAAAACACCATAATTAGGAAATGAACGCCATGGTAAACAGCACAGCTTAAAATTCCAACGCAGATGAAATAACTGAAAAAAAAAAAATGAAAATCTTTGAAATTTCAGCGTAACCATGCAATCGGAAAGTTTAATAATGCAATCATAAGTATGTGAAATGCTCAAATTTAATTATCAAATGGTTTACCCATTTACTTGTTTTTTTTTTTTTTTTTTTTTTATTAAGGCAACATGGCTAGTGCTGTCACCACGACAGAGCAGATAAGGATATTATTTTAGTCCGGGGTAAAAAAAAAAATTAACTACTGCGTATTCGAACCCAGGTCTCCCGCACAGGAACCCAGTGTTCTAACCATTCGACCAAGCAGCAACTTAATCGGCTGAACGAAAAGAGAACTTAACTATTAGAGATGTGTGTCCCTACTTCTGTGTCCTGATTAAAACACAATTCAAAACCGCAGGCAATTGTTTTCTCGTAGACAGATACTCCAAATATATTAATGAAACGGCACAACAATAGAAATCGCACGTGTCTAACACGGTTAATGAAGTTAATGTCGCAGTCAATGTCTGCGCCGACGTCGAGATAGTCCTTGATTGCCCCCCCCCCCCCCCCCAATCGAAGGTTGCTTGAAAAAAAAACAGAAAATAGAAATCGTGTTTAATATGGTTATTGTAGCAAATATAGAGATAGTCTTGTTTGCTGTACCTCGACCTACTCTATGTATTAGAGAAGGCGTTGGCTGTACGTAACTCGCCGGCGAATGGCGGAAGCCTTGCGTTCTGACTACGGCGGCGCATGAGCAATTACTAACGTGGCTATAATTAGAAATCACTAAAGGTATAAATATTAGTTGCGAATATTATGGCATTAATTGTGGTCACCTATCTCTAACAGTGACAGGTTGAATTTCAAACCACGATGGTTCAAAATCCGGTATCAAAACAAACATATCCTGAAAATTTCAGCTAAATCGGTTCAGTAGTTTCCGAGTCTATAGGGGGCAAACAAACACACAAACATTGATTTTTATATATATAGATATGTCTATACTTGTACAACTGGAATCTAAAAATCTGGTAGACATCTTGTGTTTTCGAGGACAAAGAAAGCTCTGGACTGGACGTCGTTTATTGAACAGTGAGAATGAGGTTAAAGTAAAGGGAAGGATCCCCTTCCACGCCTTTAGGAGCAGTAGGCATATAGGGCTAGACCTGTACTGTATAGTTGGGCACATGTTGGGTGATGTGGCCATCATCCCTCCAGCCGCCTTTGCTTCCCAGGACTTTTACCTGGTACCCATAGAAGGCTAGGTCGACCTGGAAGCCAAGGTTATTTTCCAGACAAGTCCAGCTCCATCAGGATGTAAACCCACCACCTTCCGATCCACAACCGAGCGTCTAGCCGCTACACGACGGCAGCTCCCGCAGAGCTTGATTACTTTTTTCGAAAACCAGTAGCACATGCATTAACGTCCCAAGTAGGGTTACTTTCTTCCAACTCTGTTCAATTGTTACCTAAGCATTCCCAATATCAATCAACTCCCCATACGTTCAAGATTAGTTCAAAGAACGCTAAAGCAAAGATTTCTACTTTATACTTTTTCTCGATTACAGCTACACAGTATATATATATATATATATATATATATATATATATATATATATATATATATATATATATATATATATATATATATATAATATATATGTATGTATGTATATATTTGTGTGGGTTCCGGAGCCCTATTATAGGGAAAACAAGAATAGACCCACGGCCTACCCAAAAGCATGTCGTAAGAGTCGACTAATTGGGAGCTTCATTCGAAGTCGGAGTGCATCTGCCTGAGAGGCAAGGAACCAACAGTCTGCACACAAATGTGTCAGATCTGTAAACGGATGCACAAGCAACACTCAGGTTCTGGAACAGGACTGCAGTCCAGAAGTGGACGAACAACCATAACTTTCCACAAGAGTTTACAGCTGGTGAACGCAAAGAAGAAGAAAAAGATATATATATCATATATATATATAGATATATATATATATATATATATATATATATATATATATATATTTTTTTTTTTTTTTTTTTTTTTTTTAATTTTTTTTATAATGACACTCTTTCTGAAAGACTAACAACCAGTGACTCAGCTAGCCACTGTTCGGACGAGAACCCAAAGGAGTAAATCCAAGAACCCCGCTCAACCGAATGAACGTTAAATTGAGAGATTTTTCGAATTGTTGGATGGAGCAAGGGGAAAGGGGGTGGGGTGGGTTGGTGGGGGGGGGGGGGTTGGTACCCTTTGATGTTATTCTGCTGGCGTCTGTGGGTTTGGCGTTGCGAACGCGCTTCATAACTCTGAAATATCGAGTTAGATTCAGCTGCACGACAACGATGACGTAAAAGATGGAAAGGACAAAGATAGTCACACAGACAACATAACCCACACAACTAGAGAAATTAAAAATGTTTCTTGGCACAAAGAAATCTTACAAATTAAAACAGGCATTGAGAAATTGTAGCCATTACACTTGGCGCATAGAAACCAAGACCTTAGTTATATGCAGGACTGGACTTAGCAGGTTGAACCTGGTCAAAACACCCACCCCTCCACCCCTCCCCCCCCCCCCCACACACACAAAGTTAGGAAGATCAGATAAGAATACTCACCAGCAGTAAAGGGCAGCTAGAACGTTCTTGGTTGATATTGGTTCCCCATATTTGCTTGAGCCACCTTCTAGTGCAGGCATCTTTTACTGAGAGTCGACTGAGGGCTCTATAGGTCAAGTGTGGTCGCAATGAGATCCACGCATACACGACATCATCTAATTGCAGCCATTTTTTTTTTTAAATATAGCGGAATATTTCTTTTGTGCTCAGGTATGCTTGTAGAGGCCTCACACGGCCCGCGGGCCGCCAGCTGAACATGCCTGCTCAAGCGTGGTTTCTCTACTACGAACTAGGGTTTAAAAAAAACCATTGTCCAGGACATCGGACGTATTGGGCACATAGGGCCAGATCTGAATTTTATAGATTAATCGGCCCTTGGTGGGTGATGTGGTTGGCATAAAGCCGGCCGCCTTTGGTTATAGAGGGGTAAGCCTTGTTTAAGTGGATAATTATTATGTGCTGAATAGGAAATATATCTAATCATCATTATCATTGTCATTTATACCATTGTATGTCACATAGGGCTCGCAGTCTATTGCCCCATTCCCTTTTATCCTGTGCAATCTCTTCCATATCATGGATCGAATCCAGTCCGGTATCTTTGGCCTAATACGTTCTTTTGAGGTTTCACTTGAGCATTCTCGCCATTCTTGCCATTTTAGGGACTTTTTGGTGATTTTGTTGTTGTTGTTGTTGTTGTTGTTGCTGCTGCTGGTTTCTTCTCTGGACATGTTTATTATAGAGCTCTCTCCTTTGTCTCATAACTGTTGTTACCAATGGTTGCCCAGTCATTTCTCTTCCTTCTCCCCCCCCCCCTCCCCCCCCCCGACCTCCCTGCCTTTTCGGTTCTTGAATTTACCCCATACAACAAATGTAACACATTTAAAGTAAGTAAGTAAAAAAAGTAAAGGTCCCTTTTCTGCGCCATCAGGCGTATAGGGCATATACGGCTAGACCTTTATTTGTATAGACAAATCGGACAAGATGGGTGATGTGGTCAGCATAACGGCGGTCGCTTTTACTCTCCTGGGACTGCACCTGGTACCCACTCAAGGCTGGGTCGACCTGGGAGCCAAGGTCATTTTTTGAAAAAAGACCGGCTCCGCCAAGGAGCGAACCCACGACCTTCTGATCCGCGGCCGGCGTCTAGCCGCTCGGCCACGGCGACTCCCCAACATTTGAAGTAATATCTGTATAAACATAAACTCCAGAAGAGATTTTTATTTCGGGGGCGGGCGGCCTCAAGACCCCCCCCCCCACCCCCCACTGTACGACCCCCCCCCCCCCCACGACACCCCTGAGGAAAGGAAATTTATTTTGTAAGCAACACACGCAAGGCAAATTGTATAGTAGATACAGAACTAACTCCCAACTCATTTATTTACTCTCATTCCTCCTAATAATGCATTCAGATCTTTTGTCTAGGTACGTGGCTTCGGTTCGATCTTACTCGACAATCCACCACCAACACCGCTGAGCGAGGACTGTCTATACCTGAATATCTGGAGACCCAGATGCCCTGACGCCGGACGGAACATGGCAACTACGCTGTGGGTCCATGGTGGATTCTTCCTAAATGGGTCCACGGCGGAGCCTGTTTACAATGGCGCAGCATTGGCTGCCTTTGAATGTGTGATTGTTGCATCTGTGAATTACAGGTATATCTAACTTCGAATCTCACAGTACCCGTTGCATAGTCACAATTTTCGTCTTGTGCCTGTCCGAGAACATCCTGTAATAAGTGGAGCAGGAGAAGATCAAGGCCTGGGAGTCATGACCCAGGTTGGCCCACCCTCTGAAATTGTCTAGGAGTTCGTGGGCCGAAACAATTGTTGATGAGGGATCACTTCTACTGATGATTGGTAGACTCCTGATGTACATGATCCCCCGCGGAGTTCTTCTTATTATTAGCTGACTGACTGAGAAGAAGTACATTTAATATATGCAATGGAGCAATGGCCTGGAAATACAATGCTCTAACTGCCGAAGACTTCTTACGCGAGCGGGCCTGCTGGTGATGCTCGTCATCTTCATGGGCTGGGATTTCCACACCGACCGATAACACAGTGTAATCTATCGTCTGGAAAGACGGAGAGCTGACTGAACAACTTACTAAACAACTGATTAAACAACTGGCTAAACAACTGACTGAACAACTGGCTGAACAACTGACTGAACAACTGACTGAACAACTGACCGAGCAACTGACTGAACAACTGACGGAACAACTGACTGAACAACTGTCTGAACAACTGACTGAACAAACTGAACAACTGGTTGAACAACTGATTGAACAACTGACTGAACAACTGGTTGAACAACTGACTGAACAACTGACTGAACAACTGACTGAACAACTGACTGAACAACTGACTAAACAACTGACTGAACAACTAAATAAACAACTGACTAAACAACTGACTTCTTCCTCTTCTTCACGGTCACTGCCAGCAAACTCAGCTGGACATTTTGGCTGTTGGTCCACTTCTGGACTTAAGTCTTGTTCTAGAACTCGAGTTTTGCGTACACATCCGTTTTACAGATCTGACCTATTTGTATGCGGACTGCTGGTTTGTGGCCCCTCTGCACTGCGACTTCTTAAGAACTGACTGGCTGGCGGATGTCTCTCCTAAGGGCTGCAGACCTGTAGTTTGACTGCGTAGTGACCCGACGAACCGCATCTTGAAATACAGTGCAACATTACAAAACCTATACCACCCGTTCAATCTTCTAAGAATGTATAATTATGACAGCAGTAGCGACTTTTCCAAGCATTACGCTTGTGTAATCTATGATACCAGGCGGGAAAGGCAACAATTAAATTTATCGAAGTGGGTACAAGTGCCAGCAGAGTGCTGTAAATCTGCAGACATGACCCGACTGCAAGAAGCAGGTAGAAAGATAATCAGGTCATTTCAGTGTCCACGTCATAGCAAACGGGTCACACCATAGTTGCTCTGTTCCTGTGCCAATGAAAACCAAGCAGGATTTCCATCATTATCTCTTGTGGAGAAATTGACACGAACTGCCCTCTCAGCATATCCAATAGCACATACGCATTAAATGAATAAAGCAGCTGCCAGAAGTGATCACACAAACAGTCTGACACTAGAAATGCAGTTCATCTTCGATGGAAGCATCGATTACAACAGATCATTAGTTGCACACTCTATTTATCATATAACGCACCACCGTTCTGTGGCCACAGGCCACTCGCCATTTTCCAAATCTACAGCTCACAACACAAACCACGCTGGTCATAGTCGAAAAACATTTCAAATGAAACCCGCCGCTCACAGTGTCGCACCATTTACGAAGACACAGAACTGCACGTTTAAAGGGGTGTTGACAGATAAGAAAGAACTCTAAGCAGAGAGCAAAGAAAGAATAAGAAACCAAAACAGAACTGGCTTAAACAACCTCTACAAGCTCCGGTATGTTAGTGAAGAGGGGATCCGAGCACTTATGGAGCACTTAATTCGATGGACAATGAGGGGGATATGTCAACTTAATAGCTATTGAAACTTGGTTACATACGCAGGTGAATTATGTGTGTGTATGTATGTGGAAATTGTCTGATTGTCGGTTTTTCTTCGTTTCACCGACATTCAGTTTTTAGATGCATACTCATCATATGTAATTCGTGTCTTCCTACAATACAATGTTCTTTTCAGACTGGGGTCTTTTGGATTCATGTATACAGCTTCTGAAGAAATTCCGGGAAATATGGGTCTACTGGACGTGACCCTGGCCTTGAAGTGGGTCAAGGACAATGTGGACAATTTTGGGGGAAACCCCCGAAAAATTACCATATTTGGCCAAAGCTCCGGAGCTGCAATGGTGTCTATGTTGCTATTGTCTCTGTTACCACGTGATCTGTTTAACAATGCTATCCTCCAGGTAAAGTTGTGTTAATTTTTTAAAATTGTTATTGTATTTATTATCTCCTTGTGTGGGCTTTGGGGCCCTATTTTAGGGAATAGGTAGTTAGACACATAGTTCCTTACGAGCGCTTGCTGAGTGAGCGATTGGAGAGACCGTATTACTTCACCAGGCAAACCCTTCACTAACCATCTCGCTAAAGCACTGCTCAATGACGTGCATACCTGAAGATAAGCTCGGGTTTGAAACACTCTTTGCACAATGTTCTTTCTTGGAAAAAAGGGCAACAAGCTAAAAAGAGGCAAATCATGGCTTAGTAGGGCAGAGGACGATATCATACAGGTCTGCAGTATTTCAGACATCAACCTTGGCGAAGAATGGATACCTGTGCCCCAGGTGCTCAACTGCACCTTTTCCTTTGTTGCCAGTTCAGATGAGACGGATGCGGATGTACTGATCTACACAGATGGGTCCGTTATACGAGGACAAAAAAGTGCATTGGCATTTACTGAGTGCTCTGCAGGTAGAACAGTTCAGGAGGCCAGTAGTGCTTTCAGTATGACTACTAGCAGGATGACATTGGGAGGTGACGGCGGTAAGAGGAGCTTTTATGTGGCTAGCATCGTAGAGCTGTTATCACGGGTGTGTGCTGAGTGATTCCATGCGTATGATCTGGCGGGTCGAGGCAGGCTTTGTATGCAGACCGTGGATCGTGTCATTGCAAAACTCCACTGTGCCTAAAATTACCTTCATTCCAGAGCATGCGGGTGTCGCTGGCAATGAAAGAGTGACAGATTAGCCGGTTCTGCTTTAGTTACAGTAGGCCGGCCCGTGGATCATGTTAACGCCATTAGAGAGGTAGGACGTTTGGAGGATTTAGGGAGCAGCACATTCATATCTTTGCTAAGAGTGCAAAAATTGGGAGAAAGATTGGCACAGCCAGGCATTAGAAACACACCGGACGCACACAAAGTCTTGTCAGCCAACATAGGACTGGAGTAATCAATCGCGGGATGCTGATGTATATGCTGAAGGGGGAATCTGAGCACCTATGGACTATGGATATATATATACTCTATATGCTCCAGGAATTCGTAGGCCCCCCCCCCCCCAACAGTGAGATGATAAATATTTTCGCCAGATTATTAGACATACAATTCCTACGCAAATCATACTGCGTGGAAACGATCAAAGCAGGCGAACAAAAAGATAAAGAGCAGTTTAACTGGGAGGGTAACATCAAGAGCTAGCGAACAGCAGTTTGAGAGAGCGAACAAGGGCGAAACAAGACGCTCAGAGAGCCATCGCATACAATATATGAAGACAGTATCTGATTAGTTGGTAGACTGGGTGGGGTATTATAATTTTTTTTTTCTTACTTTGTTATTTTGTTTCCACAGAGCAGCAATCCGTTATTCAAATTCTTCTACCAAAGCAACAAGTCGGCACTCTCTGCTGCTAACAAACTGGCAACCAGTGTGAACTGTGGCTCACTGGATTCGCCTACGGCTGTTCAGTGTCTTAGACAGGTAAGTCGAATGTATTGTCAATTGTAATTCGTCAGCTTTTCTGTGTTGTCTTTTCATTACCTGAGCCAGTTTGTCGAGTCCCCAGTGTTAATATATATGCGTCAACGATTAGTAAAATATTCAATGATTTTAATTAAAGTGTGCTCAGAATGGAAGGAATTATAGGCTCTCCTCCGAACTTGTCCCCATATTATGGTGGCCAAACAAATACCCTAACAGGACCTCAGTCGTGTGTAAAAGGCGGACTTCCTTCGACGAACACATCGCGGCAAAACTAGGATTACTGTCCGTTGACAATGTCGAGAAACGCAACAATACACAAGATAATAGCGACATGGCGGGGGGACCACGCGCTCCGACGCAGGTTAGCGATAGTGTTCGTCCGATTAAACTCACCGCCGAATGTATCCCCCGCGCCACTACGCGCGGCGCGGATGGGGGGAGGGAGGGGCTAAACTAGATGGCTGAGACTCACGAGCAGCAGCTACCGCATCTCCTGCAACTTCCTCCAATTTATTTGCTCGTGAGTCACAACCATCTAGTTTAGCCCCTTCCCCCCCTCCCCCCCCCCCAAAAAAAAATCTTATACAAAGTATATTCATTTCCACCCTCTGCTATCAGTGGCACTCATTTTAAAGAAAGGTACACACAAACCGTGGCTAAGGCGTTGCGAGTCCGACTCGTAAGCCAGCATACCGCGATCGAAACCCACTGCAGGCTGCGTGGATTTTTGTCGTGGTATGGGACGTCGCAGGTCGACCTAGCCTAAAATGGGTACCAGGATGGGCTGTCCTGGGAAAGTAAAGACAGTCGGCGTAATGCTGACTACATTACCCACAGAGTACTGATGGTCTGTAAAAATATGGGACGCTCTGCCCATATGCCCGATGCGCCGAAAGGCGTAAAAAGGGATCTTTACTTTACTTTACTTACACACAAACATCTCATAGAGTGGCATCCAGTCAACGAAAGAATTGTGACAGCCCGATTCAATGAGAAACATGCCAAACTTACAATCATCCAATGCTACGCACCGCTTAATGAAGCTGAAGGCGAAGATAAAGAAACATTCTTAAAGAGATTGCAGGAGGTAGTAGATAAAATACCAGCCCATCATGTTCTGTGCATTATGGAAGATTTCAATTCAAAAGTTGGAAGCAACGGAGAAAGACTGAGCTACTTCTGCACAGCGAATAGACTTGTTATAGGAGGAACACTATTTCCTCACAAGAACATACACAAGATTACATGGATATCCCCACTTGGAAGAGAGGTAAACCAGATTCACCGTTTCATTGTGAACAGAAAATGTCGTGGCTCCCTACTCGACTTGCGTGTCAAAAGAAGAGCAGATGTGTGTAGCGATCATCACCTCGTAGCTGTTCTGCTACAAATAAGACTCAAGAAAGCTTATACAAAAGCTAAGACCCAAAAAAGCACGCTACAGCGTCAATCTATTTATGAGAAAAAGAAAAAAAACATTGAGATTTAATTTATAATGGAAATCAAGGATGGGTTTCAAACCCTATCAGTTGACCCATACACTCCAATTACAATCAACATACAAAACAGATGAAACCAGATCAAAGAAACATAAAACAACCAGCAACAACATATTAGGAGCCAGGACACGACACCACAAAGAACGGATACGCAGTCAAACCATGGATTATATTACCAGCGAATAAGGGACAAAAAAGCCTAATAAATCACAATAAATCACAACGTCAGAAAGACAAACTAATGTTAGAATAAAACGAATTAAATCAAATGGTAAAGAAAAGTGCCAGAACTGACAAGAGGAGATTTGTGGAAAATCTAGCAGAAACAGCCACGGGCGCCCGCAGAAGATTTTCTAGAAAAGGGGGGGGGGAGGGGGGGGGGGAATATTTTTAGTAATGGTTTAATGGATTTTTAATTTACTGTAGCGTATTTGTATTTTTTTTTTTTAAACACAATGTATGTAACAAATAATATTACAACATAAATTTAAAATAAAATTTATTCTTTTAACAAGAACTGGAGTCGTCTGTTATCGCTACCATACATAGTTACAATTTTGTCCATAAAGTCTTTTTTATTGCAGTTCACTTTGTCTCTGTGTACGCTTAACATGCACAATCCAGACAGACGTTCATCTGACATTGTAGATCTAAGCCATGTTTTTACACGACGTAATGTGCTGAACGATCGCTCCACCGTACATGTTGTTGCTGGTAATGTTAGCAAAACTAGTAAGGCATACCTGACACTCGGATAAAACTTTGTAAAAGGTAACAAGTCGATGAAATCTTGGCTACTTTTGTATTCTCGCGTTTTCCAAAAATGAAACCAACTCAAGGCTTCAGTTTCAAAATTATTAATGTGGTATACCTGATTAATAGTAGACATTATATCCTTAAACTGTGGACGATTCAGTTTGCACAATTTCGAAGGATGTAGCAACGCTAAGTTAAATTGTGCACTGTTGGCTTCAGAAAATCGACTCTCCATTTAGTTAATTAGAGAATCTGAGTATGGAATGTAAACTGTTTGTCTGAAGTACTCTTCAACACTTATGGTTCCCGGATTACTTCGATGCTTTTGTCGTCCACACTGACTTGGGATAATCAGTTCAATATCCACTTTCTGTGCCAGTTGTACTGTTTTCTCAAAAATATCCCTGAAATAGTTATCGGAATCACCTCGGTGAAGTTTATTACATTGAGCAGGTTTTGAACTTGCAGTTGGACTTCTGGAAGATCAACTTGAACAGCTTGAAGAGCCTGAGTAACTGGATCCAGTATGGCAGAGTACTGCGAAATAATATTGAGATAAAAAAAAAAACGTGCTGGACTTTAATGAACAATATAACTGTTGTGCAGCCTGTCGTGTATTCCCACTTGCATGCAATGAAAATTCTTCCAGTTGACAATAAATATCTTCAAATTTAGTGGAACAAATCCGAATACTGTTATACTTGCTTGTCCATCTTGTCTCACACAGAAGAGGAATATTTGGGACAGAGGACCTCTTTTTTGGGCTTTCGCGTAAAAATGTAATAATTGCTTTGATAGTACCAATAGTTTTTCGTATAACTGCAACATTATTAAGATCATTTACAACGAGATTTAGTCTATGCGAGGCACAGTGAACAAAGGCAGCATTGGGGTAAATACTTCGAATTTTTCGCCTGAACACCATTTTTTTTCCGGCTATTGTCGAGCAACCATCATAACCTTGACCCAGCAGATTATTAAGGAGAAGACCAAATGTTTTGCAATGTTGAATAATACAATCAGATATCGTGGCGGCGTCCATACCTTTCAGGGGAGAAAATCTAAGGAATTCCTCACGAATCATAGCCTTCTCACTAAACGTATCTACAAACCGGACTCTCAGTGATAACTGTTCTGTTCCTAAGATATCTGCTGCTTCATCGGCTATGATCAGGAATTCAACAGCATTGTTAGCAGCCCTTACAATGTCTTCTCGCAGAGCTTGTTCAGA